TTTGGTTTTGAAAACATGACCGAAACGAAAACAGTCAAAACATAGTGTAATTAATCCAAAGCCATCATGGATTTGATTGAATGCTTTTGAGTTAGTTATCGATTTAGGTATATTAGGAGTCTTATGAATAATTTCGGATTAGTTGTTTCTAAATAAGTTTGAAATTATCTTGTTTAGGTATAAATTCTCAAGTTAATTTACCTGTTAAAAGAAAAAACTTCAAAACAGTTCACTTTTTTTTTGTTTTGAAAATATGACCAAAACAAAAATAATGAAATTGTCAAGTTAATAATCCAAAACCAACATGGATTTGATCGAATGCTTTTGAATTGATTATTGATTTAAGTATATTAGGAGTCTTTAGAACAATTTTTGATTACTTTTTTCTAAATAAGTTTGAAATGATCTTGTTTAGGAATAAAATCTCAAATTACTTAGATTTTGAAAGAAAAAAATATCTCGAAAGAGTACTATTTGATTTAAAAAATATGACCAAAAGATTTTTCATGAGCAGTTGTGTCCTTAATTAAGGTTTTCTTCCGCCATTCTTGTGCGACTTTCTTCTTCGGCAGCCCCACAACGCCTATATGGCGGAGACCGTGAACAAGGCGAGGGGAGGCGGATCGTGGCCGGATGGGGATGAGATAGACCTGACGCAAGTTAGTTTTGAAAAGTTGATCGGGTAGGGCGACAGTTTGGAGATCATGACTGAGAATGACGAACTGGTGTTTGATGAGGAGGACATTGTGGACCGATTGGAGCAGACGTTTTCGAAGGCTCATCCTCCTCCTGAGCCGCCGCCATGCAGTGCAAGAGAGACTAGAGTTTGAAAGAAAATGAGTGAACTTTGTTTTGATTTTATTTTATTTTGTTTATATTTTTCTTTTGAGTGTATTTTTATTTCACAACAGAAAAACTCTAGAACTTAGGACAAATGGTGAGAAGCCTGGTTCGCCTATCATTGACTCAGTTAAGCTCATTACATGATTAACGAATCTAATTGTTTCTACGGGGGTGATGAATTCTAACTCTGGTTCAATAGCGAACAACAAACAGAAGATTTTTTGTCGATTTGTACTCTGCTTACGTTCTGTTATCTTAATATAAGCCATTTACATTCAAAATATATGACCAAAAGAAAAACTGTGAACACTATTGTTGTCCATGAAAGCCCAAGCCTTAATAAGTCTGAGCCTTTACACAAAGGCGAGGGCCGTAGATAAGGCTGTGCAAGTTGGGCTAATGCACAGGGCCTCCAAAAATAGCAGCCCATTTTTTTAAATTTAAATAGTATACATATATATATAGTAGAGAAATATTCAGGTCCGGAACTCCGATCCGGACCAGAACCGCTGTCCGGACGGTGACGTTTCAGAGTCTTCTCGGTTGACTTTTTTGATGAAATTTTTATGACATGTTCTTCATCAAATCTAGTTTATCCCAGAAACAATTCAGCTAAATATTCAATCGGGAAGGTCTTCAAATAATTTTTGGAAGTTAACTGCGTTTTATATGTATATTCCGGCGCAGTTATCTTTCAAAAATCATATGACGGCTTTCGCGATTGAATTTTTAGTTAAAAGTTTTTGTGGATAAACTAGACTTGATGAGGAACATGTCATAAAAATTTCATCAAAAAATTTAACCGGGAAGGGCCCCAAAAGACTCTGTCCGGACGGCGGTTCCGATCAGGAATTCCTGACCGGAAGAGTACTCTATAAAGTAATTGTTTAAATTATTAATAGGGGCCCATTTGCATTTTTGAAACACGTTTATACACCGAACGATCCAACTCCAAATAAAAGCAAACCATACCTCTACACATTAGATCTATGCATTTTATTTAATAAAAGACCTCATTTGTGTGATTCGCATCGGGTCTCTTAATGTGTCAACCCGGCCCCGAAAAGGCTAACCGTTATTGTTGTCCATGATAGCCCAAGCCTTTAGCCCGATCTAGCACGTCCAGCAAGACAAATTCAAGATGTGCATGGGCAAACTCCTGTGTGTGTTAACCAAGCATTCCATCCCAATTAGTTGTGAGGTTATCGTGGCTAGTGAGAGATCTCGAATTCGAAACCCGCTAGACACATAAGGGTTTGAAACTCAATGAATTGAGTTTAAGCCTTGATTATTCCAGGCTCCCAGCAGTGGCGGATCCAGGATTAGAAGTTATTGGGGGCAGAAAAAAATGCATCACAAAAAATAATAATAAAGTAGCAATGTAATATTACAATAATTAAAGTCTTACAAAATACATCACAATTGTTCGCGTCGAGTTTTCATCTTTTGAAAGAGATCCATTACAGTTTCATTTGTAACAGTTTCAAACACATCTTTCAATGAAACAAATCAGACAATCACTCAAATACTTATCGCCAATTCTATTACGCAAATTAGTCTTCACTATTTTCATAGCGGAAAAACATCTCTCTACGGTTGTTGTGTCAACTGGCAAAGTCAATGCTAGCTTTAAAAGCTTATACACCAAAGGATGTGAAAGATGTTTCCTTGTATCCACCATCACTCGAGCAAGATCACCAAGACTTTTCAATCTAGCAAACCTTTCATCCGCTAACACATTGTCAATATAAATATTGATTTGGTGCTCAAGAGTTCTGCGTTCCACACAACTGAAGTCACTTGGATAAAATTCAGCCAATCTCAACGATTTTGAAGCATCAAACTCACGGAAGGAATCAATCGGACTCAAAGAAGCCATGCAAAGAAGTAGCTCGGAATTTACCTCATTGAAACGGTCATCAAATTCATTAATTTGAAAATCCATTATGGTATTAAAACATTCATACTTATAATGATGCCGATTAGTGATATTAGTTCTTTGGCGTGGCATCCTTGGGTTAACAAAGTCCTCATCCATATTAAGCACAGAAAATTCATGCTTCTCACAAAATTCTAAGATCTTCCTCAAATGAGAATCCCACCCATCAGCTCTTACCTTAAGCAATTGTTGCTTTGTTGTTTTCACAAGTGAAACAACATTCAATATGTCTTGATATTTCTTTTGAAGAGCCACTGACAAAGAATTTGTGAGTGCCAAGATAAGCAACATCAACTGCAAATAAAACACAAATTTAAATGGTTGAAAATATGTTAGAAGACCATTAGCCTGACGTCTTTTGACACTGTCTATGCCCTCCACTTCAATGTGCTCAAGGATTTGAACAATTGATGGAAAGAGTTCAATCAAATTGAGAAGTGTTCTATAATGGGAACCCCAACGTGTATTTCCCGGTCTTTGAAGGGCAAGCTCCTGATTTAATCCTCTCTCGGTGCTAATTTCACCATTACTTATAGCTTCTTTCACTTTTTCTTGATGACTTTCTCGAATCATATCTCTTCTTTTGCAAGACGCTCCAACCACATTTAATAAAAGAGATATCATTTCAAAAAAATCACCAACATCAAAGTGTTTCTTCGAAACCGCCACAACAACTAATCATAGTTGATGAGCAAAACAATGGATATAGTAGTCCGAGCTACTTTCTTTCATGATTAAAACTCTCAACCCATTGAATTCACCTTGCATATTGCTTGCGCCATCGTACCCTTGGCCTCTAACATTTTTCAAACTCAAGCCATATTCAGAAAATACAGAATCAATAGCAGATTTAAGAGACAGAGAAGATGTATCTTTCACATGAACAACACCAATAAATCTTTCTTTAACTATGCCACACCGATCAACGTACCTCAACACTATAGCCAATTGTTCCTTGTAAGACACATCACTAGACTCATCAACCAACAAACTAAACACATCATTACCTATCTCCCTAAGCACAGAGTGAACAACTTCCTGTGCAAAACAATTAGCAATGTCTTTTTGAATGCTAGGAGCAACTACTTGATTATTTCCTGGAGCATTTTTCAATACAACCTTACTCACAACATCATTTTGACTAGCATTATACTTTACTAGTTCCAGAAAATTGCCTCTATTGTTAGACTCTTCAGATTCATCATGACCACGATAAGGCAGTCCTTGACGCAATAAAAATCTTGAAACATCAATAGAAGCATTCAAACGATTACGATATTCATTCTTCACAATTTCACTTTGTTTATGCAAAGCAACAACAATTGACTGGTCTTGGTTCATTAAATCATCACATTTTTTAAGTGCCTTATTATGGAAACTATTTATGTTACCCACATGAGAAGCTAATCGCTCCATTTTATTCCAACTTGAGAACCCTTCAGTTACAAATGCATCATTCCCAGCACGATTCTCAAAGTGATCTCTAAACAAGTAACAAGGCAAACAAAAGGCTTTGTCATCTTGTATACTATATTCTAACCAATTAGGATATTGATCAAACCATTTAGAGTTAAAGCATCTTAAAGTCTTCCCAATCTCTTTTTGTGGGAAGTCATGACCACGTGGTTGACAAGGTCCTTTAATCAAATATTTTCTCCTGATTTCATATATTTGATTAGGATGGTACTCAGAAATTTTCCTTCTTTTTGCGGGATCTGAGGCAAGCTCATCCAAATCAACTTGTTTAGGTATTGATGAAGAACATTGAGATGCAATATTTGAAGCATTATTATTTGAACTACCCGGTGAAGGAACGGTTGCCGAATATCTCTTCATTGAGTCAGGAAAAGAAGTTAAATTAAAATTAACTATTTTAATACATTATACATTTCATTTAACTACCTAAAATATTATAAAACATTCTAAAATTGATATAATTAATAATTTCACTAACTCATCAATTACATTCAATCTAATTGAACCTTCTAAGATATTTAATTTATGATGTAAATAAATTAAAAACACTATAATGAGTTAAATTACAGTATTTAATACGTATATAATTACTAAATACGGAGCATTAAACTACACAATACCTAAAGGCTTTAGGCTTACCTAGACCAACTCTGATTGACCAAATCGACAAATCTAACAGTTGTAATCGATAAAAGATGAAAATTAAAGTGAAAATCGAAAAGATTAAAGGCTTTAGGCTTACCTAGACCCTAGTTATTGGCCTTATGATGTGAGTCTGGTGTTAGCGGAGTGTGGACTGCCGTCTGCCGAACTGAACGGTTCCGGCCGCTGGGAGTCACGGAGCGTTGGAGCACGGAGGTCGGACCATCGGAGCAGTGCGCGAGAGAGCTTTCTGCGGCTGCGGGCTGCGACACTGCGTTTCTGCGCGAAGGGGCGTCGGCGAAGGTTTTTTTCCATCGTTCACTTGTTCTGTAATCCCTGAGGCGGGCTGGAAGATTTTGGGTTATTGGGGACTGATCATTTTTTTTATTGGGGGCAAACTATTGGGCTTTTAATATTTATTAAAAAATTAGAATGTTTAGTGGGCCTTTATTGGAGGCACTGCCCCCCTCTAGCCTCGGTGGATCCACCCCTGGCTCCCAGTCCCCTCCCCAGACGGCCCAGGAGTAAAAAAAAAAGTGAAAACGTCAAATGTAATTAATCCAATGCCAGCTGGACGTTGTGGGCCATTGCATATTCATACGGAGTAATATATTTCCGATATATTTTCGTGTTTAAGCCTTCGTTCTTCGCTCAACCCACCCAAGCACTTATATACGACTATATATAGATATATTTTCATGTCCATACACATTATTTCCCAACACATATATGGACTAGAAACTAAATCTGAGCGGATTCGTCTCGCCGTTTAAAATTGAACACAGAATTGATGAAAGGAACTAAGAACCATTAAACCCTAGAGTTAGAAGCTTTTTCATTGTTTTTCGACGATGGAGTAATATATTCAACATGCGCTATGATTGAGTAACATATTCAAAGTATGCATCGTTGTATTTTTTCTGTTGAAATTATTATTAGGACTATTATTTCTGGGAAATACTCCTTGACATTATAATCATGTCGAAGCTAATGGAGGAGGACGGGGAGAAGAAGGGAACATGGAGTACGTGGGAAGAGCTGTTATTGGCGTTTGCTGTGAAGCGACACGGGCTCAAGGACTGGGACTCCGTCGCCATGGAGCTTCGCTCTCGGAGCTCATTACCGGACCTACTCACGGCCCAGGTTTGCGAAGATAAGTACAGAGGCCTCCATCGCCGCTTCATGAACAGCGACGATTTGGCTGTGTATAAGGATTCCGGCGGGGACATCAACGCCGCTGCCACCGCCGTTGATATTCCGTGGCTGGAGAACTTGAGACAGCTCCGTGTTTTAGAGCTGAAACAAGAGGTCCAACGCTACGATATATCGATCCAGTAAATCTATCGCTCTGTTATTATCATTTTTGAAGCAGAAATGGTGCGCTATTTTTCGTATGTTTACGGATCTGATAAGAGTTTTGATCTCTGTTTTAAACAGGACGCTGCAACAGACAGTGAAGCGGATGGAGGAAGAAAGAGACCACAGCAAGGACACCAGAAACGATGCCGTGGAACCAGATCTGGAAGAGGATAGAAACGAAACGAGATCGGAAAACGTAGAGATGAGCGGCGGCGATATGGAGACCCCGGCGAAAGCGTCCGGGAGATCTGTTTCAGTTGCGGAGTCCGAGCACGAGAATCGGTCGTTCAACGAGTCAAATTCAACTGAGAAATGGGAAGCGGAAGAGAAAATTGAACCGGAGCCGAACGAGGGAGGAGTGGTTAAACCGGATCCAGAAACCAAACCGGTCGTGAATGAGGATTCCTGCAATGCTAGTTCCAATAGGTGTGAGGAGTCGAACCGGACTGAGGATGGGAAATCTGAAATTGACTTGGCGGAAGGGGGCCGCGACGCTTTAGGCGCGTCGAAGGAGAGCAGCGACGTTCAAAGCACCGCAACTTTGACTAAGAAGCGGCGGAAACGAAGCGACGCCCTCGGCGGCGGAGGACGAGAGGGTGGAAATGTGACGGAGGCGGCGGTTTTGTCTTCCGACACGGAAACAAAACGGGAGAGTGCGGTAAAATCCGAACCGTTTGATGGGTTGTTAGATACGATAAGATCGCGTAAAAATGCATCAATGTTCGAACGCCGGCTCGATAGTCAGGTAATGTTCATCCGCATTTTTTATTTCATTGATTAAAAAAGTATGGTTTGCCAAAACCTACTGCCCATTTTGACCGTTACAGCCACTCAAAATACTCCGTACCAAATAAGAAATGAAAGCCCAAAAATATAGCAAAAATAACACCCTCAATCGTGAATGTAATTTTTTACGAAAACCGTGTGTATTTACGTATTCACTATTTTCAAAATTTTTAAAGTTATCACTCCTCTTTTTAAAATATTACTCCGTACTGTACTATACCGTCTATATTATTTTTATTTTATTTTATGTATATAAAACTTCAACAGCACGCCCTCACAAATTAGGTTTTATACAGGTAATGAGAGGCTAATAAATAATTTGAATGTTGTTGAACATAATTAGAGTATATGAAATTATCAAATTTTGTATACACTTCTCACCAAAAGTATGACTTTAATTTCAATTGTAGGTTGGTAGTTTTTCCCTGACGAAGATTCTGTCTACCATAATGAGATTATTAGAGGACAACAAATATCATCTTATTAACCGTTCCGCTAGAAGATTTCCATGAACGGTTTACGATGCTTTACTGACGATAAAGCAACTTAATCCTTGCTCAACCTCTGATTATTTTTAGTAAATAAAACTAACATATTCAGAAATTACATTAAAACTGCTACAAAACCTGATAAAAAAATGTGAATTTGATAAAAATTTGATTTATAAAGTAAAAGATTAAAAATGATTTAAGTTGACCATGAGAATAATGGACGGGAACCTTCTAATGGGACGGAGGTAGTACTTTGTAGTACTCCTTTCATCTCTTAAAACTTTGTCAAGTTTGATCGACATGAGGATTAATTAGTAAAGTAAAAAATTGTGTGATTTAAATTTGTGCAGAGAAGTGTGAATAATTGGAACCACAATTTTTTTTCACTTAAAGGGGAAATTGACAAAGTTTTTAGAGTCCGGAAGTAGTTTTTAGAATGTTTTTATCTAGATTTACAAAAGTCGCAAATTAGATGAAACTAGACCAAATTAAATTTAAACAAGTTAAATCATGCCAGACTTAAAATGATCAAATTAGGACAAATCAGATTTTAATAGATGCGAAATACACATCTATCAGACAAAAAAAAATTGTCAATTTAAAACATACTCCAAATTTAAACACGTATAATATATCTATCACACTACAAATTTTCGAAATCATAATACTGGCTCCATATATTACGGAGTATATTATAAAAAATAATTAACTGAAATGTTGCCAGTCAATAATAAAAAATGGTATTGAAGATTGCTTACTATTTGTAAATGTAAAATATATGTAGTACTACGTCGTATTATTTATTACTATCGTACTTTTTATGAAAATTCATTCGTCTTAGAGTAAAACATAAACAAAATGTTCAAGTAGGAGTAATTTTGTGTTATTATCAAAATATGATTTACTATAGAAATAAGATAATATAATTCCTATTTGACCCTTTGAGGAATTGTCTCTATTTTCCATTCTTAATTTCGCATTAGTTAAACAATTACTTACCACGTATGAGCTGAATGTATCCACTCGATTGAATTTAAAAATGTTGCGCAGTTGATTAGGAAGTGTTTATACCGAGTAGCTTATAGGAGTATATCATTATCATACTCCGTAGTACTTAGGGCCTATTGAGGTGTTTGTAACTGATTCTGCTTCTTTTTTTAAAGTAGAAGCAGAATCAGAATCAGTTTTCAGAAGCTGGTACCCCTCAGCTTCTAAAAAAACTGATTCTAGGAGTAAATTAGAGTATCAGAATCACTTCTTCATTTTCACCCAAACACTCCAACTTCTGCTTCTGCTCCATGAAGGAGCAGAAGCAGTTAAAAATTAGATCTAAACACCCCCTAAATGTGGAAGCAAAACAGCCAAATAGGTAACCAGTCCATAATATACTAGTAACTGCTAACAGACCCGACCCAAGTTATGAATTATGATGGGCCGAATGTAACACTTGGAGGAAAAATGTACTGCACATCTTATGAGGTCGATACCATTAATGTGTAATTTAATTTCGAAAAGAAGTTTTCCCTCTTCGAAATGATTATTCTCACTCTTCGTAACTATTTTATTTTTTTCAAAAACCTTATTATTTTAAGTTTTTTAGTTACCATCTTAGATTTTAAAGATATTTTTTTCTCTTTTGAAATATTTCAGAATCAAGTAAATTCTATGTACCGAGTAATTTTTTAGTTATTTGCCCTTTCGAAATTATCTGTACAAACTTATTAATCCACTTTGCCAAGTATTTTATTCTCAATAAAAACATATCCTTTCCTTTCATTTTATTCTTTATTCTATAATTTTTTCCCTTATTGTCTTTTCTGAGTATTATAAATAGTACTCCGTATTAAAAATTGGTGTCTCTTACTGCAACACACAACTTATGAAAAAATAAACATTTTCATAAAAAACGAATTGTGAAAGTAAACATTTATTAAAGATTAATTTAGAAAAATGGCTATATATTTTTGTCTAGTCAAAATGACAGTATATCTTTTTTTTGAAAGAAAAATGATACTCCGTAGTATATTATACTCCCTCCGTCCCCTAAAATTTTGACAAGTTTGACCGACACATGGATTAATAAAGTGAAAACTGTATGGTTGAGAGTTGTGCAGAGGAGAGAATTAATTGGAACCACAAATTCTTTACTTAAAAGGGAAAGTGACAAAGTTAGTGGGACATCCAAAAAAGGAAAGTTGACAAAGTTTTAAGGGACGGAGGAAGTATAAAACGGAACATGAAGAGTAGTAAAATAAAAATCATAGACATACTACAATTATTATTAAAATACTCCCTCCGTCCCATAAAATAAGTCTTATTTTCTTTTTTGGGCCGTCCCAAAAAATTGTTCCCATTTCCCTTTTTGGAAAGTTTTGTGTGGCTAACATTCATTTACATTTTTCTTACTCAACCACAACCATACATTTCCACTTTATTCCCACTTTCTTAAACTCCGATCCAAGTCAAAGTGGGACTAATTTTCCGGGGCGGAGGGAGTACAACGTATTATTCATTGTTAGCACAATATAAAAAATAAACATAATACCTACCATAATTGATTATCTTTTCATTTAATTATTCCCTTTTCAAAGAAACGCTGTCCAATCGTATATCCCCAAAAAAACATTCATTCATTCATAAAAAAATTGTATTTAGTGGCGTTGACTGGTTAATTGGGTGTGGAATTGGGCATGCACACGTAATGAGTCAGAAAATAATGGGCTAATAAATTGATCCAAACGTGACCCATCTTCCTGCAGAAAACAGATAGGTACAACAGTATGATCCGGAGACACGTGGACTTTGAAACGATTCACTCCCGAATTGATAACGGGTCATATTCCGGATGCCCCATAAAGTTCTACTCGGATCTCTTATTGTTATTCAACAATGCCATCATCTTCTTCCCCGTCTCATCTCCCGAACGAACAGCCGCCGCACAACTCCGGCGCATTGTCAATAAAGAGCTCAGAAATAACAAAATCTCATCACCCAAACCACTCCCTTCTTTAAAGCCTCAACCCGTACCCGAGACTGGACCCGAACCTGGACCCAAACCCGAACAGGAACCCGAAAAGTCGAATCCGCTTATTGTAAAACACAAACTTACGGGCCCAATATTGGTCTGCCGAAAGAGAAGCTCAATTTCAGGCAACAAAGGTTCATCTTCTGCTAACAAGCAAGAAAATGATAAACCCAGTCACAACCCAAAGACCAGTCCACCTGAAGAGGAAACCCAAGTGAAGATGAGATCGAAGGAGAAGGCGGCGACGACCGGTATTAGGAGCATGAGAAGTTCAACACCCAAAGGCCGCCCGACCAATCCTTCTACACAACCTACGAGCACGAAAAAATCCGGCGGATCAAATAAGCTATCAGAAGAGGAAAAGACTATTACGGTAGACAAGAAACGGGGCGCCGCCGACTTCCTGAAACGGATAAAGAAGAACTCGCCGGCAAAGGAAGTGGCGGTCGATGAAGGTCACGGTAGCAGTAGTAGAAGGGTACAGCTGAAGAGAAAAGCAGGGCCGCCACCAGCGGCGAACAGTCCGTCGAAGAAAACGGTGGGTAGACCAGTAAAGAGAGGGAGAGAAGCGGAGACGGCGGAGAAGCGTGGAAAGGAGGCAAAGGAAGACTCTTCAAAACGGCCCCTGAAACGTTCCAAAAGGTGAAACAACAATGTGACTGTGGTTCATTAAAAAGTTACAGTTATTACGGAGTATTAAATTGACATTCTTTTTCTTATTCACATTTAGTTGACATGCTAGAAGTGCTAAAGTTATGGCCTGGTTAGAGCTAACTGTTTTGGGAATGTATGTACCTCTCTTCTCTTTTACAATTTCCTAATGTGGTAATTTTTTCTACACAAAAAGTGAAGATTTAACTCTGTTCAGGCATTGTAAATGTCTTTTAGATCATGTGAATTTAAAGAAATTTAGTGAATTTAAAGCCTGAGGATCCAAAAAAATGTAGTGAAGTCCTTATATAGGAGGTTCTGTCCGGCCTTCGCCATTCGGGACGGTTTGCGGTGGAATTTTTTGATGAAATTTTTTGAGCATCTTACTTATTAAGTCTTGAAGATAACTACCTAGTTACCTTCAAAAATTCTTTTGAATGCCTTTCAGATTGAAGTTTTAGTTGAAATTTGGTATGAGTAAACCCCCCAAATGGCGATGGCTAGGGGTGGATTCGGGCCGGGTCGGGCCCGGGCCGGGCCTAGGGCCGGTCGGGCCGCCGGTTCAAGAACAGTGGCCCGGGACCGGCCCGAGGGTTGGACGGGTCCGGTTCGGGTCGGGCCACCCGCCCGGGTCACGGGTCGGGTCCGGTTCGGGCCGGGCCGGTTAATTTTTTTTTATAATTTATATTTTATAGTTTATAGTTTTATACGAGTATTAAAAACAAACTTCAATTGCATTTATTTGAAATGAAATAGGAACTACATTTGAAAATTAAAACAAACTTTAAGAGATAAACATTTTGAAAATTGTAATCAATCGGAACTTCCCGCACCTCCCGATCCTTTGGCTTTGTCACATGACTTCATATGCTTGATTGCCATCCCGAATCCGCCTGAAGCCCTCATGATACATTTTTTTCGCACCATTTGCAAACTGCGTACCACATCCCGGTCTTCGGGTTCTTCTGCTTATCAAAATTATACCGTATACTGGCATTTTGATTTTCCATCTTAACTTCTTGGAGAAGAGAATTAGAGAGTAGATATATAATATATTGGAGAATGAGAGAATTAGAGAGTAGAGAGTTAAGAATAGGATTTAGGAAGAATTGGAGAAGAGATATGAAAAAATGTTTAAGATTAGGAGTATTTATAGCCGTTTGGGTTGTTCCCAGCCCCACCCCCAACGGCTAGTAGGAGCCCAAACCATTTTTTTTTAAATTGAACCGGACCCCGGCCCGGGCCTGACCCGGCCGGGCCGGGTCACAAAAATGCTGAACCGAGCCCGCCCCGCCCCTTCCCACCGGTTCGGGTCCATACCCGGTCCCGGACCGCCCGACCGGGCCGGTCCCGGGCCCGCACAGTGCCGGGCCGGGTCACGGGCCGGGTGGCCCGAACCGAATCCAACCCTAGCGATGGCCGGACAGTAAGGACTTATTTGACCTTTTTTATGCAATTTTCGATGACCAATCTGATCCTTATCTCATTTAATATTTAATGTGTCTCTGGTAAATTAAGAATTACATGAACTTGCATCGCGATTTATAAAATATTTCAACTTTTGTTGGGAATGTGGAATGAAGAATATATTAACTTTTAGTGATATATTACAATTGTATTATCGTAATTGTTTAGTATTTTAACATATGTTCAACTGAAATTTACAGATACTAAAGCACAATCTAACAATAAACAATTAAATTATAAATCATTAATTGCGAAAATAAATTGACATATTTTCAAAGCTCTGTTGAAAGTTACTGCACTCTTTATTCCATCGGAGACAAGTTCAAGTACCTTATGAGTTCCGATGTAATTATGTAAATTGGTGTACACTTTACTCCATCACATACAAATTCAAGTACCAAATTGTCACTTTAATTTACTTAAAAAATTGTTTAGTTTGGGGCTTATTCAAATAAAATAAAATAAAATAAACAAATATAACTAGGGATGGACCCAACCGGTTCGAACCGGCTCGGGAACTGGACCGGCCCGCTACTGTGCGGACCGGACCGATTTCGCTACTGTGCGGGCCGGACCGGGTCCGCTACTGTGCGGGTCCGGACTGGACCGGGCCCGGATGACCGGTTCCGGGCTTTAGCCCGGTTTGGGCGGGTTTGGCGGGACGGGCTCAGGCCTTGATTTTCATGAACCGGCCCAGGCGGTCCGGGCCGGGCCCGGTTCATTTTTTTGTTTTTTCAATTTTTTTCTTTTTCTTGGGTAGGGCTGGGTGTTTGGGGGGGGGGGGTTGGGTCGTGGGGTGAGGGAGGGGGTCGGGGGTTAATTACAAAGGCAAAAAATTACCTTTAACCGGGCTCAGAACGGCCCGGTCCGGTTTGGCTTTACCCGGTATCAATCTGGGCCTGTTCCGGGCCCAACATCCTGGAAAAAAAGCCCAACTTGAACTGGCTCGGGCCACATAGACTAAATCCTGGACAATTTTTTGTATTTATGTACATGTATGTTAGATGAGGAAGCGGTCCAGCCCAGCTGGTCGCCGACTTACTTTCCTTTACGGGAGGTCTCGGGTTCGAAACTTAATGGGCTAAGTTTCATCTTAGATTATTACAGGCTCCCCCAGTCCCCCTCCCCCAGACGCCTACCGGAGAAAAAAAAGTACATGTATGTTAGACCCGTATGGGTCTATTTATTTTTGTAAATAGGACACTTTGTAAGTTAGTGGGCCAATGACTTCGTTTATAGGCCCGCAGTAGTTGCGGATCCAACTTGTATATAAACGCTCTTGTTTTACCCAATAGAGACATAAAAAATTTCTCCCTATTCTATTCCTAAAATGTACTCCGTAATATGTTTGGGTGCCTATGCTTTGCTCATAACCTTAAATCTAAGGGTGATAAGTTTGCTCCACATAGTAGAAAACGTGTTTTTATTGGATATTCTAATGGTAAAAAGGGGTGGAATTGTATGATTATGTTACGGGTGATATTGTTGTTTCCTGTGATGTACAATTTCATGAAGCTGAATTCCCGTTATGGAGCTCATTCATAACTCCCAGTCCACTGAATCGGAAGAAGGTGAGACATTCCCTGCGTCTTCACCTTTTATTTTTTATGAAGAGCCCATTATTGAGCTATGGCTCAAGCCCAATTGAGCAACCTTTAATAAGTTATCTTAGTAATTTGTTATTTCATACTAAGTAATTTGTTGTCTCATATTCTCATATGCTATATATGGAGACCAATTGAGCAACATTTAATTTATCAACAAAGTTTCACTTAAATGGGATGAACAAGTATGATCTATTACATTCCTATTTTTTACCACAGGGGTCAAGGGAGAGGCTGAGAGTGTTTGGGGTAAACAAAGTCCAAACTATTTCAATGAAATTTTTGAATCGAAGACCTCTCATACAAGAGAGTGAGTCAACGACCAATTGAGCTAGATCACTTTCTCTATCTCATTTATAATTATATTAGCATTATACTCCTTTCGTCCCGCTCATTTCTTCCAACTTTCCTTTTTGGGCCGTCCCAAATAATTCTTCCCACTTCCACTTTTGGAAAAAATATGTGGTTCACATTCATTCACATTTTCCTTATACAACTACAACCATACATTTTCACTTTATTCCTACTACCTAAATTTGCGATACCGGTCAAAACTGAAAGAAATGACCGGGACGGAGGGAGTATATAAAAAGGAAAATTTCCGAAATAGGACTAAAACAGTTTTTTATCATCAAATCCAACTAATATATTAAATCAAAATAACGTTCGTCACATGGCTGATAATACAATCAAGAGAAAAGGAGTAAACAAAACGATAAAAAACCTTATATTTGCCGTCTGCCCTCGAACCAGATTGAGAATCTATCACCTCTGTAGAAGCAATAACATTCGCTGATCCTATAATGGACATAACTGAGCCAATGACCGGCAAACCAGACTTCTCATCACCTAACCTAAATTTAAGAATTTCTATACTAGGAAAAAAGAACACAACCAAAACAGCATGCAATTCGACTGAAAAACAAAAACTGAATAAAACGCAATTAAAATAGAGTTCACCCATCTTCTTCCAAACCCTAGATTTGCTTTCACTCCATGGTGGCGGCTCAGGAGGGGGACGTGCCCGCCGCTCATCCGCCACACCCTCAGCATCAGCTTCATCTAGATCCAGTTCTTCTTCCTCTACTCCAATCATCATCTTCTTGTACAGTCCTCTACAATTCCACGATAAGATGCTCATTGACTCTTCCCTACCAAAACCATCCATGTGATCTCCACCTGCAGCCAATAACAAAGACCTTCTCGGCGTTGTACTCGCCTGAGCAAAGCACCGCCGGACAACCAAGTTAGGCACTGCCTAAGGCGGCAACCCTAGAGAGAGAAAACTTTTAGGGTTCGGTTTTGACTCATTACTGGGAATTAGATATTAGACTAAAACAGTTTAAAAATTCTAAAATAAGTTTGTCATGTTTTTTATTCCCAAAATAGGACTGATTACTGCCATAACATGGGAGTAATAGACTTCAAACATGGCAATATTTTCTAAACATGGGAGTAATTAGTCATATTTTGGGAATAAAAATATGACAACCCTATTTTGGAATTTTCAAACTGTTTTAGTCCTATTTTGGGAAATATTCCCTATATAAAAAGATTAAATATCTATGCTTCATATTGATTTGAAGTTTTGAACACTACCTTGACATCCAGCCACTAATTACTTGATATATTCTATAATTGCCCACCTACCTTTTATTTATATATGGAAAGGAAATGACATGCATATAATTTCAAAGTACTCCGTGTTAACTTGAGGTATTTGTTATTTATCATTGACAACATCTTTTATGTGCATTGGCAAATTTTTATTACATAATTATTGGCTAATCCATTAAATATGTTGAGGTTTATTCCTTCGACCTAAAGGCTCAACACCTTCCCTGGGATTTAGAGTGGAGTATGAAGTGGATTAAGTGGGTAATATGGTGCAAGTAAACAAGGAAAGAAGCATTCAAAACAGTAGTAAGTGGGTCGTATCTTATTCAATAAAAATAAGGGTGAATAATTGATATTTCACTACAAGTCACGAGGCCGTTCGTCTATCTCAGTAAGAAGAGCTACAGATAATTGATATTTCTAGAAGGTATTAATTGTCAATCCTCAAATAAATGCTACTATTTATACTACCAAGGGGTAGGTGATGTTGACTATGTGAAGGAGTGTTGATGGCTAGCTTCTCAACCACCAAATCCATTGCATTAAATACGCTTCCCGCCAATATCTTGGTTTCCCGCCCAATGGTCTGGACGAGCACCCGCAGATCTTGGATCCTGGGTTTGGTTAAGCACAAGGGAGGGGCTCCGCCCGGCTCTTGTGAGTCGTCATGCTGGAGGCCATGGAATGTCACGCGGCCCTGGGGGGTCAAGGCCACTGAGTTCGAGTGTCTAGAGTTCCGAACGTGTGTCCGGCCGGTAACTTCGCTAGACCGTGCTCTAAATGGACCTTGATGGGTTTCTTATAAAGGAATAATGGGTCAGCTACCGGTCCAATTAACCCAACAAAATTAAAGATTTTATATTACTTATTCTGACGGTAAATATATAAGTGAATTCTCATCCTTATCTATAAAGTGTATAACAATACACGGATACTACATAGACAGCCAATGTATCTATGAATAAATACTTGGCGACTTACAAAGTTACAAACAAATGTTTGTATGTTTTAGAGCCAACAGCCACAATAATGGGCGTAGTTAGGGGGCATTTTAGGCTCTAGCCGATCTCATGTTTCAATTTTATTGAAATTCTAAAGCTAACGTTTGCAGGATTTGCTTGCAATTTTAAAGCTAACGGCTTATCATTGAAGTATTGCATTTTCTTTTTTTTTTTGAGAAAGCTAATAACCCAAAATGAGCTAATAGCTTGAGGAGAGAGAATTACCGAGTATTAAATACTACCTCTGTCCCTTAAAAATTTGTCAAATTTAACAAGGACGAAGAATAATAAAGTAAAAACTATGTGTTTGAGGTTTGTGCAGAAAAGAGAGAATTAATAGAAAGCATAAAATATTTGATTAAAAGGGAGATTAACAAAGTTTTTTGGAACATTCCAAAAAAGAAAGATGATCATGTTTTAAAGGACGAAATAAGTATAACATTTTAATACTCGTAATAAATGAAGACAAACAAGTAACAACTAATCATTGGGGTACATTTTAATTTTATTATAGAGCCTAATGTGGGTAGTTAAATCTAAGCGCAATTAGCTAATCCCTTGAGATGCCACTAGTTTTCAAGTGAAAATTTATACAAATGTCATTTTTGAGAAAATCACGCTCAACCAAATGTGGCATGTCACATCTGTATCGGTGAGTGTAGCTCAACAGATAGCGAGGGAGTCCACAAGGGTTAGGTCCCGAGTTCGAATCCCGGCAAATGCGATGAGAAATTACTATGCTAAAAAATGCATAGGATCTCTGCAAGTACCGAGGACAGAATTTCACTTTCTATCTGTCAAATTGAGATTATAGTCCAACTTACATCCTCCCAACGTATCCTCCGGTCGGGGATGTGGTATATCCTTTTTTTGGCATGTCACATTTGTAGTGGTTGGACGGCAAAATGGAATATACTCTAAAAGGGGAGGGGATTCTGAAATGGAGAGAATCTACAAACAATATTCCATAGATGCCACTTTCCAAATAAAACGAACGGTTCATATATGCTGCAAAATTTACGCCAAAGAAAAAAAAGGTATGGAAATTCAAATACAAAAGAATCGAGGGATGCAAAAATAAATACACAATTTCAAAAGCGTGTTCACGGAAAGGTCCTGGAAAACCTAGCCCCAAAGCCAAGTCGCTGCTGCTTACGGACCGGGATGACTATATATAGGCTTCCGACCCCTCCCTCTCAATTCAACCAAACCTCACTCCTTATTATATGGGGTTTGACGTTTGGGACGTCTTCTTCCTCTAACCTCTCCTCTTTGCTTTCCTGTCTTCATTCTCTCCAAATCAAACGCTGCACAAGAAGAGATCCAGAAGAAGAGATCTAGATCATGGGGATTTTGGACGCCGGAATGAGAATCGCCGCCAGGTTCAACTCTCACTGCCCTCAGACTTCGAGGATGTACTACCATCCTCCGCCGCCGCCTCATTCCAAAAACGTCGACAAGTCGACTCACCACCGCGAGGGCGATAACGACGTCCCCCACCGCGTTCAAGGATCTCCTTCCAGCGACGCGGCTGCTGCCGTGTTCTCCAAGGCTGTGGCCAGGATCGATTCTGCGGATTTCATTCTCTATGCTGCTATTTGAAGATGAAATTGATCGAAGCGCTAACGGTGTTACTTTATGCTGTCTAATTTGATTATTTGACTAATTCCATACTCATACCAATTTTAATTTTACAGCTGGATACAGCTTCATATATTCGTTGATTTCTGGTGATTTGTTACTTGGCGTTATGAACCTATCTATTCTTGTCTCCAAATTTTGGAAAGGTTTCGGTCGTTAATTACTCCGGACATGTCAAATTGATTTTTTCTTTTTTAATTACATTTTTTAAATATGAAATTATTTTGAATATGAAAACTATATCAAATTGTTCATTATTCAAATTATTTTCATAAAAGTAAAACTTATAAATTATATATAAATATAATATTTCGTCTTTAAAATCATTGTTCAATGTTTGCCATCATTCACCAAGAAAAATTTTACATCATTCTTCATAGTTTTGCTATCATTGACTAACCTATTTGGAAGGAAGGTAGTAATTATTATTCACTACTTTTAGGTCTGTCAATGGATCGGATCCGGGCCGGAATGTAGTGTATCAGACCCGGACCTGCTAAGTGATTAAGGGATCCAAACCAGGACCCGTTTACCCGCCGGGTCAGAAATTTTGGACCCAGACCTGGACCCAACGGTTCTTGGGTTTGGGTCGGGTAGACCCGCTAAATATTAAAAAAAATCTGTAAACCTAGAGCAATTGCACAAACTAGCTACACTCAATCAGTCATTAACAATCAACAAAATTCAAAAGCAAATCATATCCTTGCCTTTCAAAAAACAAAACTCAAAGACACAAAATAAGCAGTTTTAGCTAATTCGTGAGCCGCCTTGTTTGCTGATCGCTTAATATGAGTAAAAGAGATATCCGTAAAAGAAGACGCAATCTCTCGAATATCGCCGCCCGATACGCCCGCTAAGGAAATGCTTGACTCCTTTAGTATCTCCGAAACTGCTCCTGACGAATCTAACTTTACGTCCACCCGGTCACATCCTCTTCCTTTAGCCCAACTCAAAGCTTCATGAATCCCTATCAACTCGGCTTCCAACGGAGACGAGACTCCCATCCAAGCCTTCGACATTCCTGCAATAAAAGTACCAGAATCATCTCTAATAATCCAACCCAATCCGCTCCTATTCTCCCTGATTGCCGCATCCACATTCAGTTTCAGCCTGCCAGAGGAAGGAACTCTCCAAGCCGAAGTACTCGCACTCCCCTGAACAGACTGCCCGCCTACCCCTTTCTGCGCTAGACACCATCCATCCACATACACTCGAGTTTTCCTCATGACCTGCTTCATATCAGTGCGAGTCCCACCTCAAATTCTGTTGTTTCGTTCACCCCATAAGCCCTAGCAACCCCAAATCAGCTTACATAACTCACCATTATTCTTTATTTGGAACTCCCTTCGGACCTGCTCCAAGAAGGACCCTGCGACAGGATTTGCCCAGCTCCACCCTATCGAATCCTAGGCTTCCTTCGCTAATGGACAAGAAACGAATAAGTGAAGCTGAGATTCAACACCCATCCCACACAGGCCACAATCGTCAGTGCAATTTTTTTTCCGGACCTTGAGATTATCCTTCGTGGGGAGTAAGCCGCAACACATTTGCCAAAAAAACTGCTTCACCTTTGGTGGCAGCTTCCACCGCCAAATCGCTGTCCACCCGGACCAATCACCAGATTCCATTTCTCCGACTAATGCTCTGTAACAACTACGGACCGAGAACTGGCCTGAGCTCTCCCATCTCTAGCACACTCTATCCGGTACATCCCTAATACTCAACGGAACCCCTTGAATGAGGTCAACATCCCGCTGCACAAATAGGTCATTAAGAAGACCTAGATCCCACTTCTTGTCCCCTGCACACATAAGGTTCCTGACCCGAGCTTGCTCCAGCCCCAAAACAGGAGTAGACACTAGTTTGGGTTGGTTTTTATCCGGGAGCCAAGGCTCGGACCAAATATTTATATCTGACCCATTTCCAACTCACCTATAATAGTTGTGCCTGATAATATCTTGATCTTGAATAATACTTTGCCAAATAAAAGAAGGATTGTTGCCCACCTTCGCTGACAAAAAATTACCATCCCTAAAATATCGGGCCTTGAAAACTCTCCCGACTAGAGAATCTGGTTCAGAAAATAATCTCCATGCTTGTTTAGCTAGCATGGTCAAATTAAACTCTCGAAGCTTCTTAAAACCCATACCCCCCTCCTTTTTTGGCTTACACATAAAATCCCAATTTCTCCACCTAATTCCTTTTCCCGATTTCCCCTGCCACCAGTACCTATTCATCAACGTTTCAATTTCCTTACACAGATCCTTTGGTAGAAGAAAAACATTCATCGCATAAGTGGGCATAGCTTGAATGATAGATTTAAGTAAAACCTCTCTTCCAGCTCTAGATAAAAACCGATTATTCCATTTCTGAATCCAATTAACCATCCTTTGTCGCAAATAAGCTAAAATTGCTCGCTTATTGCGACCCATCACCGCCGGTAACCCGAGATACCTCTCATCACCATCATCCAATCTCACTCCCAACATCTTTCTTAACCCCACTCTGACATCATCTGAGACATTAGAACTGAAAAGAGTTTAGATTTACTTAAATTGATTACCTGTCCCGAAGCAAGAGCATAATCATTCAACGTCTCTTTCACAACCGAGGCTTCACTATGAGTAGCCCTGAAAAATAGCAGGCTATCATCTGCAAAAAAAATAAATGAGAAATTTTTGGGGCTCCACGGGCAACCACTACGCCATGTAAACGCCCCGCCCTCTCATGATCTTTTAATAGGGCACTCAGACCTTCTGCAATCTAAATAAATAAGTAAGGAGATAAAGGATCTCCTTGTCTCAGACCACGAGTAGGAATAATAGGCCCCAAATCTTTTTCATCAAAAGAGATAGAGTACGACATCGAAGAGACACACTCCATCACTAGATTGACCCATCGAATGTCGAACCCCAAATGAACTAGCATACCTTCCAGAAAAGGCCACTCAACTCTATCATATGCCTTACTCATATCCAGCTTAAGACTGACAAAACTCGCGTTATCCTGAGTTTTTCGTTTAAAAAAGTGTTGGGTTTCAAAAGCAATCATTATATTATCAATTATAGACCTCTCCGGTATGAAGCACTTTGGTGCTCGGACACACATAAATTCAGAACGGCTTTCAGTCTATTAGCAAGCACTTGCGAAAAAATCTTATAAATAACATTACAAGGGCAATAGGCCGCCAATCACCCAAAACCTCTGGGCTATCCTTCTTAGGAACTAAAATAATATTAGTATGATTAATTTTATCTCAGAGTTTACCTGACTAAAACACCTCTGAACAGAAATTTACCACATCCGGTCCCACCACATCCCAATAGTGCTGAAAGAATCCCGGACTCAGGCCGTCCGGGCCAAGAGATTTGTCAGGAAACATGTCAAAAATGGATGCCTTCACTTCTTCACTTCTTATTGGCCGCATCAAGTGTATGTTAGGGGCATCCTCCAATTTTCTAGAGATACATCGAAACACAAATTCCCCTGTATTGTGAACTGAAGAAAAAATATTAGCAAAATAATCGCTAATTAGGCGACCAACTTATGCCCTATCTGTCTCCCACCCTCCTTCCTCCAACCTAAGTCCCTCCACTCTATTTGTCCTCCTTTGTTGTTTCACTGAGTTATGGAAAAATCGAGTATTAAGATACCCTCCTTTGTACCAAAGTTCTTTTGGTCTCTGCCTCCAGAAAATGTTTTCCTGTTCAAGCAAATCAAGATATTCCCTCTTAACCCTCTCAAAAACACTCGCATGCCAACCATCGGAGAACTTTCCAAGATACTCCAATTGCCTACGACAAAACTGAATTCTCTTACCCAAAGAGCCTGCTGCGGATCGACCCCAGTCCTCTACTGATTTACAACAGGACGCAATTTGTCCCATAATCCCCGAACTTTCTCCCACACTCCAACTTCTTGCTACAATGGAACGACAATCTTCATCTCTTTGCCAAAAATTTTCAAATTTAAATCTGCTGCGCCTGTGATAGCTCCGAGACAGAATCAACTTGATAAGCAAGGCCACCTAGTTCGCCACTGCGCCATCAAACATGTCTCGCCAATCCTCTGAGACTAGAATTCTGTCTAGCTTCTCCTCCACCTAGTTCGGGGAACCCCGCCACTTTTCCTAAGTGTATTGATAGCCTTGGAAGGGAAACTTCTCCAGCCCACACGCCTAAACAGCTTCGCGAAACCCTCTTAATAACCGAGGATGTGGCACTCTCCCTCGCTTATCCGAAGCAACCATCATATCATTAAAGCCCCCCATCACCAAGGAAGATAAGGTTCAGATCCTAGAGATTTCAAACAGTCCCATGACTCTCTCCTTCTAGACCGCTCCGGGCAGCTGTAAAAACATGTGAATCGCCATACAGGATCGCCCGTCTCTAACAGAATGCTTGCATCAATGAAGTGAGGAGAAGAATCTCGGATGTGGACTTGAACCCCCTCTCTCCAAAGTAAATCCAAACCGCCTCTGTGACCAACGCATTCCACCACATAGGAAAAATGCATTCCCATTTTCTTCATAATTAAATCCATCTTGATTTTATTTGAGAATGTCTCCATTAAAAAAATTAAAGTCGACTTCTTCAAGTGAACCAAGTTCACCAAAGCTTGAACTGCCGCCGAATTGCCGAGCCCACGACAGTTCCAACTTAAGCAACTCATTGGTCTCGGAGGACCTGACTCGCAGGACCCACCGCTTCCCCGTTTTTTGACTCAGAATACTCCATGGTGGCAGCATCCGAGGTACTGGCTCCATACCCCGTCCCCCCCGCTTTCCTCTTCTTGAAATACCCACCCAATTCTGATGAGATATCAACTGCCTCATCCTCCCTCGACCCTCCTTCCAAGCCTTGAACTATCTCTACTCTTCTTCCCGACTCACTGCCAGAGAGAGCTCCAGACAACGGATTGCCCGAACCATCCACAAGCCACCTGCTTCCTTTTCCCAGGCCACCTCTTCGACCCCCTTCTCTCAAACCACTATCAAATTGTCTCTGCTGGGTGCCTTCAGCTCCTGTAAATCTCCTCAGGCACAACCTGTCAGTGTGATCCATCATTCCGCAAATAAAGCAAAAGTGCGGCAACCACTCATACTTCAGTTCCACCTCAACAGATTCATCCTGTCGTTTCAAGGTTAATCGACTCCTCAGTGGCTTAT